GTACTCAATCTAAATACTGTGGACTACAAAATTAAACCAATTTGAAGAGCCATTTGAGGATGCTGAGAATCATTTTCAGATGTCTTAAAAACAAAGCACACTTCTGTCATATGAACTTACTGAAGCAAATGAGGAGACAATGTAAAGGCAATAGGCAGAGACATGGTCATAGCAGGAATAGTAAGGAAGGCACTTCTTGTTTGGAGGGGTGTCAGAGAAAAGGAAAAGTCTCTGTTATTTTGCCCAAGTTGTTTCCTGCACAAAGGATAACATTAAAAGGACAGTGTTGAGAAATCACACTTGCCTTCTCATTAATATATCTTAGAGCTCTTCTCAGACACAGATCTGCTTCAGAGGTATCTCCCTTTGGCCCTTGGCCTGCTCTTTTTCATCTTCTGAGCTGTTAGAATTCTTCAACCACTTGCTATATAACAGGAATTTTTTTTCTTAACAGATTTTATAATGTCCTAAAGTTCTTTTCATTTTGAGGACTTTAAGACTAACTGTTTTGGAGAAATAGAGTTGAAACTAGCACTTTCTTGTCTGGGCTGGAATATTCTTTCCCTGTATTTCAAACTATTTGTTTCCTTACACTGGTTATCTCCTTTACCACATCCAGGAATATCTTTGGCGCCAGTACTTTGGAAACTTTATGCTTTCCCATGGGCTGTTTATAAGATATATTAATTATCTTATTGTGCCTTCATATTTAAAAAATATGATAGCAGGAATACCCCTAACCACAAAATAGTTATAAATGATGACCATCCTTGTTTCTAAGAAGTACCCAGTCTTGATCTTAGTAAGTGGCCTAACCTGATTATCTGACATCTCTAAAGATTGTGATATCCTAGCACTCACACCTTGGACCTCTTTCTCTTTCCACTCATTTTTTAAGGAGCACTTACTCATTTTATAACTTTAAATATTATCTTTATATTGTTGGTGACTCCAAACTATAAATATCTAGCCCCTACCCACTGCTGCATTTTAGACTCTTTCCTACTTATCTACTACTAGATATCTCCATTATATTTTCATAGATATCTTAAATTTAAAATGTCTAAAACCAAACCATTGAGTCCCCATAATTTAAACTTACTTCTCTTTCCTCTCTCAGATAATCTAGTTGCTCAAGCCCAAAACCCAAAATTTCTTATATGCCATGTACATTCTTCCTTCAGCAACTGTTAGTGGATACTATCTCAAGTATCTTCTTGTTTTGTTTTGTTTTTTAGTTGAGGTTTATTTCTTGCTTTTGGTGCTGAAGACTGAAACTACCGCTTTCAGCTTGCTAGGCAACCATTCTGCCACTGTGCAAAATCCCAAGCCCCTTAGATATATATCAAATTTGCCCACATATTGTTTCCTTCCGTAATGACTTTCTAGTTCAAGCTATTCTCTTTTTCTTGGACCACTGCAGCAACCTCTGCATGGTCTCCTTGCTCTTGCGTCTCTCCCCAATCTTGCAAGTTAAATAAGCTCATAATTCTCTGCTGCTTGAAATCTAGTGGCTTTTCATCAACAAGGTTCAACCTAGCCTCAACCTTGACTACCATTCTGCCTTTATATTCTGTGGATATCGTATAACTCCCCTCCGAGTACTCTGGTCCAACACTCTTCAGTTGTCCAGGGCACATTCCAAACTCAGAGTTTTTATATTTGCTATTCTCTTTGTCTTGAACTCCCTTTCTCCAGATGTTTATGCCTTTGCTTTATTTGGATCTACTCAAATATTATTTCCTGAAGGAAGCCTTTTACTTATTTTTTTGTTACTCTTCCTGGTTAAAATAGCATTCATCTAAAATACTGGCTTACTGTGTTTTTTTTTTCCTGTATTTTTTGGCGGTTATGTGTCCACACCAAGATATAAGCTGCATAAGGACAGAAAGGACAAGAGAACTGTTTTATTCACTACTGATTATTAGCACTTGAAAGAGTACCTGGTTCATACAGTATATTACATATGTATTTGTGGGATGCATTAGTTAATGCATGAATGAGTGGCTGCACCTAGTCTGTGAGAGAATTCTGGAGGAACACTCTGACTCTCTGGGCAGGATCCACAGTGTCCAGGTCACCACTCCTGTCCGTGTATAGACCAGGTGACGTGTGCATGCCTCCTGCTGCTCCATGCCGCCCTCCCTCTGCATTAGTTCTCTCTTTTACCTACTTCTGCAGCTTGCACTTTCCTTCTCCCTCACACAAAATAATTCATTTTATGTCATAACACATGCTTACACATAGAAGAACAGTTTCTGTTAAGAGAGTAGGATTATTTCACAATAGTGGTGGTCTAAGCAGAAAATCAGGAAAAAGAAAAGAGTTTTGGATGAATTAATTTTCAAAGTTCTGAAGGAACATAAAGGTATCTTGAAGACAATGAATAGCATTGTGAAATCATAGCAGTTGGGAAAGACAGCAAAAATTAGAACTCACCCAGACTCTCATGTTCTATGTTTAATCTTGAGTCCAACCTAGCTACAAGATTTTTTAAAAAACAAAATTGTCTTCAGAGATGGAGGAGAGAATAATGTGAACATATCATATGAATAATGGTTGAATAACAGTCATTGCTAGTACTTACTATGTGCTAGGCATTATTACATGGTATTTATAAAAGTTATTTAGTTATAAGTACTATCATGTCTGCTTTCAGATGAAATGATGACACAGAGAGGTTAAATAACTTCTTCAGTATCACACAGCTAGTAAGAAATAGGGCCAGTACTGAATTGAGTCCATACTGTTGTCTTGCTGTTATCTGAACAGTTGGAAGAGGGAGCTACTGAAGAAATGCTGGGCTCTAGTAAAGGTTGAGAAGGCAGTTATAGTATAGCATTACTGTCAAGCTGAAGAGTCACCATCTTCTCAAACTCCTCTTCACTGTGTGCTTCTATTAAAAGTAGCAATAACAACACTTGTTTGTATCTCTCTTTGTATTGACTTACATCAGCCTATGTTAAAGGTTATATGTGATTAATTTTTGAGCCATTAAATTTAGTTTAGTGCTTGACATATAATCAACATTCAGTTTTCGTTGAATGAGAAAACAAATGAATGATCTTTAAATTTACTGGAACTGTCCTTTGGTAGGTCAGCTTTTCACAGGCATTACTCAAGCCTGGGCTGGATGCTTGGAGGGATGCTGTGGAAGGAAAAGCCATGTCATGTTGAAAAGAAAGTAGAGGCCAAGTTTTCTTTTGTAACTTACCTAATCCCATGTGAGTTAGTCATGACTCTTTCTCCAAACATTTATTGAGCACCTATGATGTGCTCAGCATTATGGTAGGCATTTAAGATACAAAGATAAATGTGGCTTAGCTTATTCATAAGGAGCTGTTGTCAATATTCATAAGGAGCTGTTGTCAATCAGGAAAAGAGATGCTTAAGAGTGTAAGTGTAAATATTTAGTAGGAAAAGCTGAGTAGAAAGAGACAGATTTTAGAGATTTTTTGAATAAAATAGGGAAAGGAAAAAAATCTATTGAAGGGTAAAACTAGGTTAAGGAAGAGATCCTAAAATTGTTTGTGTGAGAACAGACAATTTACAGTGTGAAGACCATAGGCTATGTTGCTATGGGGAAATTCCCATAGTAATTATACATCAGCATTTGCCATCAAGATATAATGCAGGGCTGGATAAAATTCAGTAGAGATTAATTAATCTGTGAAGAATTTGGGAATTCTTGGAATAAATGTACCCTCTTATATTGGTCTCTAGAACTAAGAAAGACGGTTAAGTCTCCCTCTTCCCCCATCCCCACACCCCTGCAGAGGCATGAACATGAAATGGAGCAGTCCATTAAATCAAGGAAAACTAAGGTTTCCAATGACTAGGACAGGAATTATAACTATATACAAAAAGATCCTTCAGTTTCTTTTTTGATTCATGTCTGGACAGTGAGGGAGTAGTGGTATTTCTTTCTAGTACTCTGGTCCTGTGGGCTGCTCTTCTTTCACACATACCCGAAGATGTTTCAACACAGAATCCTCTCTAGCTGGAACATGATGCCTAGGTGGGTGGGGAATTCCCCTGTTTTGTTTAAATTATAATTATCTTTGAATTTGGCTAGCAGGTTCGTGATTAGTTTACTGACAATTGTTTTTTTCCTTCTTATACCATATGCTATTCCATGATTCATCAGCTTTGAGTCTGTTGCTTTGAAGGTGAAACAATTTCTTCCAATGTTGATATTTCAAAATCTCTTAGATAACAAGCATACACATATGTATAGTCCTTTCAGAAGCTTTAAACATTTGGAGATGAATGAATTATGCTGCTACAAATGGGAAGGAACGGTGAAAATTTTCAGTGGTGGTATCCAATCATCTTTTAGGGTGGTTCCTTGAATGCTGATATTGATAAAGCCTGTATATTTTATTTCTTTATCTGTTCTTATGAAATTGTTTGTGGTATGTATAATGAGATTTTTAAAGTTTCACATTTACTTACTTGCATTGATTTACATGTATTTTAATATTTTAGACGCACAAGGTCTCTTTTTTGGAAGTAGGGTTTAAACTCCAAATAAATCTAACATTAGCTATTTAAATTGTAATAGTGGCTTCTCTTCTTATTTAATGTATAACAATGATTATTCAAACCTTAAAAATTATTTTACTTTTTGATACAAATACAAACCTTTCAAAATATTTTAATACAGTACACATTGTGCTTTATAAATGCAAACCAAAGCAGTTATTTCTGCATGGGAAGTAAGTATTTAGAAGATTAGGCTTCTAATAAACATTTACCAAATTAGTTTTTTGCATATAGCTTTGATCAGTGTCGTACTTAGTGGTGTTTGATGTCTGTTCCTTTTTACTCTGAATGTTGAAATGATTGTTTTTCAATTAAAAAAAACAAAACCTCTTTATAATTTCATGGTGTAAATACATGTGTAAATATCTGTTTAAGTTGTACATTTGGAAAGAGATTTTAAAAGATTCTAATATCCAGCATGTCTTCCTCCTCTTCTCCCCCTTACCTGGTTTTAGCTTCTCTTTGGTTCAGGTGTGCTGGTGTCTCTAAGCCTTTCTGGGCCACAGCTGGAGAAAGTGGTGATTGACAGAAGCCTGGTGGGGAAGCTCATCTCAGACACCATCAGTGATGGTAATTACCCCCGTGTGCAAATCAATTGCCTACATTAACAGTGGGACAGGAGAAATAGTGTGTCAACAGGTAGACTAATTATTACCACTGGGGACTTGCAAACACAACAAGTAATTGCTTGTAATAGTATACTTACAAGCCTTGGGACCATGCAAGTTTCAACCAAAATTTAATATCAGTGATTTTTTTCCTTTCTTCTTAAGTGTTAGGCTTATATTCTGAGTATTTTCTACTCTTTCCTTTCAAAAGTAAACCTATTTTCAAAATAGGTTTTATATTCTTTCAAAATTATTCCTTTATTGACCTTTCAAATATCTTCCATTTTCAAATGAATTTTCAATGAAATAACACAAATTTCAACAGTGCCACCGGTAAAAAAACAAACAAACAAACAAAACATGTGTCAGCCTTTGTAGCAAGATTCATTTTTATTAAGGTCTGTGAACACTAACTTTTGAGATATTTGTGGTTATAATTCTAAATTAAAAACAGTGCCATAATACTGTATGCTAGTTAATCTGGTTCTATCAAGTGATACCAGTCAGTGTGGTACAAGGAACCTAGAAAAAGATTTTAAGCATTTAATGCATAGTGAGGTTACTGACTTATATTGAGCCATAAAGACTCTAGGCTGGGTGCCAATTTATTTATCAATCCAAGAAAACAACCATGTAAGGTCTTGTTATTTATGTTTTTAAAATAAGGAAACTAATGCTGAGCTACTGTGACTTAAATAGCTAGAGAGTGATTGGGCTGAGATTTGAACACATGTTCTGACTGCAGCGCTCATATTTTTCCCCGTTATACTCTGCTGACTTCTGGATTTTTGTGATCATGGCCTTCAATTCAAGGTAAAAAGCTCAAAAGGTAGATTGCATTATCATAAAAGATTGAAAATGTCCAGTATCTTAAAATAACTAATGAAAGGAAAATATAGTAGAAAAGACAAAGGTGAGAGTTAAGAAGTCTTCCATCCTCCGTATGTGTTCACTAGCTACCTCTGAATAAATCAGAAACAATCACATCATCTTAAAAGCACTCTGCAGGATAGCTATAATTAGCAACATTGCAACATTACTGATAATAACAAGCAGGATAGGATTGTGAGCATGCCATTTCCCCTTCCTTGTAGAATGTACTAAGAGAGCTTCCCTGTGGAAGGCTCTGTTTTCATATTCTAACATACCCTTTGTTGATATTGCAAATGAAATTGTGACTGTGATGATTTTGTCATATTAATGCTCCAGTATAAGAATTAAAGGGAAACTTCCAATACTATTCATGTCTCTGAGCTATCTTTTTTTCACTTGTTTCTTTTATTTATACATAAAATAATACACTCTCATGGGACCATGATAACAATGTGATTTCTTGGCAGTTCTCCAGATTCTCCTGTAATTGTGGAGATCCACTGTTGGTCACCACTTGCATGGCTAGGGTTGTGGAAATAAAGAAAAATATATAAAACATTTAATTTCTTTATACTAGGGAAAATATGAAAGATTTATCAAATTCCTATTATATGTTTTTATTGTTAATTTCTTGTGCCACTAATGGCTCTTTATGCCATCCATATTATTAATCATCGACCTACTTATATGTTTCAGAAATAAAGCAGTAGAAGTGTTTTTGCTAACCTTCACTATTAAATATTAATTTATGTAATATATATCTTAGGTATAATGTGCTTTATTTCACTCAACTCCTATATTCTCAGAAGGGTTGCTGATGAAAATATTTTAAATTAAAAACAATGAGATCAGTAGAGGACAGTGATCAGTGTCTCTTAATCCACTTATTCCCTCAGATGGTTTATATTATATAAACATAGAAATAGAGCACAAATGTAGTTTTAAAAAAATCTTCCATTCTGATATTAAAGAATATTTTATGCTTTACTCTCCCTGGTTCTGTATACATCTCAGTTAGTGGTTGTCCCAGAGATCAGTGTATATTGAAATAGTCACAAGAAAAATATAGAATGATGGTTATTATTTATTCTTAATATCTTTAATATCCTTGTAAAACATCATAATGGCATTTAGGAGACATTAGTGATTCCAGTTAACATTTATCTTCTGAAAAGTGCTTTTTGTCATATTTTAGTGTAAAAATCTATTATAATTTAATCTATTTTGGTATTATCATTTTTTTTTTTTTTAGCCCTTCTTACAGACGGTTTCATTCTCTTATCATTTTTGGCACAAAGTAAACTATGTTTTATTCAGTTTACTAAGAAGATGGATTCTCTTGATGTAAACAAAAGACTGGAAAAACTCTCAGCCTTGGATTATAAGGTAAAGATTTCAATTTACATAGCCATATTATTATTATTAAAGTAAGAATATCACATGAATTGATGTTATGCTTATTGATCATTTTTGGATTTCAGAAAAATCAGAATTATTATAGGATTAAGTGTGTCTTACTGCAAACAGTGGCCATTTAAAGTTTACTTTTTTATTATTACTGTTCAAAGGTGGGGATGTCTAATAATGGCGTATTTGGAGCAATTTACGTTGTAGTTGTGGAAGTAAAAGATGGATAAAAGAGGCAAGTTACATTTTTTAAAATAGTTTTCTTGCTGGTGATAGTATGTACACCATTTTCATTTTCTCCTAAGAACCTATATAGCTGCTTTCATTTCCATTTCACAAGAAATGAAAGAAAGAAGAATGTACTCAAAGATAAATGAAAAAGTATAATGTACAAGGAGTGGGAAGGCTCCCTCTGCTCCCCCTGTAGCTGGAGAAAATAGAAAAAGAAATTTCCTTCATATGTAGTAGCCCTTCACTAACTCCAGCTAATTTGTTTCCTTGTATCAGAGACTTTACATCTCACCTGTTCAGGCAGGATTTTTACTTTAAATGATGTGTTTAAATTTTGCCAGGTTACATTTTAACTGCTGGGAGGGCATACTCTCTTCTAGGATCAGTAATACATTTTCTAGGCTGTTTCAGTTCAAGGCCTCTTTTCAGCAGTGACTTGTGTTTGCAAGATTGATCCAGCCTCTGTGACGTGGATTTGAGACAGTTCACTGTTCACTAGGAACAGAGCTGATACACAGCTTTCTTAAAAAAGATGCACACTTAGGCCATACATAGGCTACCTATAACAAGGGCAAAGATTTTTAGAAGTCAAGTCTCTGTCTTAAAATTATGTGAGTTTGGAAAATAGTACTTAACTTCTTACCCATTGAGATTATTATTTATTATGGTAGAAGTGGTGGTGATGTGGGGGGATGTAATCTTGTTTAGAAGAACATCTATTCCTATTTTAAAAGGTTTTTTAAATATGGAGTAAAATACACTGAGTGAAATTTTTCATTATAGTATTAATCTACAGTCTGGGTTTGCTTGCTAGTTTGTGGAGCTTCTATGAAACGTTGTATAATATTGATTTTCTTTAATTGGAAATTCATGGTACTAACTTTATCTGGTTAGTCAAAATGATTCTGTTAATATTAAATGAAATGAATCAGAAACAGGAAGCTACATATTACATGGTTTCTCTGATATAAAAGGCCCTAAATGGAATTAATTTAAACAGCAAAATAAAATAGAAATGGTAGGAAACAGGGAGCTAGACTCTGCTGCACTGGAATGGGAATCTGGAGGAAGAGGTGGTGGGAGAAGAGGTAGTAAAAGTGATAAAGATGCTGTATGTGAATATACCAACTCCCCAAGATGAATATAACCGTCATATATCATAAGCATATACTAATAAAAATGAAAATCTTAAAAATGATCCTTTTAACATTTTTAAATGGGTGTTATTTTCCAAGTTGCTAATTGTAGGTTTATTTGAAATGTTTATATATTATTATTGGTCTTTAAATACACCAGTATACTTCAACTCAAGCATTTAAAATCAGTGTTGTTAATTCCATTTTATAAAATTTTGTATGACTAGTTCTTTCATTCTAGGTATGATGGATAAGTTGGTAAAGTCATCTCAACTTAGAGATGTAGCTACCTAGTAATGAAATGAGAGAAAAACTGTCAAGAGTGCCACTTCCTCGTATAAAAAGATTTAGAAGAGAGCTGTAGTATTTGGATCCTTATAGTTTAAGTGAATTGATTAGCTTATTCTTTCGGCCTTTGGATTTGGGAAATTAGTAATATGGGCACTCCCATGTCTGTTGCCCTTTGAAAACCCATTAATTTCATTTGCTGGTTTAATTTTTATAGATGTGTGATAATTAGCCAAAACTATTGCTTATCTATTGGGAGGATATTTTAAGAAGCTTATATTAATGTTATTTGCCCTCTTGGTCATGAAATGAGTATACTGATACCATTAAAACTCATAGAAAACATGAAATTTCAAATAACATTTGTATTATATGAAAATTGAAAATGCCAATAATGCATTTTCAACTCTTATTTCCTCATCTAGAAATTTGTAACATGCTTACATAATTTGTATGTTAAAATTTTATGTGTGTGTATTTAGGCACTTAGCAATACCATTGTATTTCTCTCAAGGAAGTTAAGATAATTGCATTGAGAACTTAAAAAGCATAAAGTACGTATGGTTTATCCTTGCCCATTTGAATTTTAAAACAAGGAAGTTATGTAGAGTATTAACAGTTTTGCTTTGCTTTATTGTTGTGCCATAACTTAATGGTTTTAGATTTGAAATAATTTGGGCAAAGAAAAATTTCAGGGTAAATAGCTTAAACTATTGACCTTTCGCAAGTTTTCTTGTGTATATTTAAAAAATCCAATTCAATTGAAAAGTGATGGGATGGTACAAGGAGTTAAATGTTTACCATGAAAGAACAACACCAGTAATTACTTTGATTTCAGTTCCTTTTGATGTGTATTCACAGGATGAAGAGGTCAATAATATTATGGCCATGCAAATAGAAAAGGGTTCCTTTTGACCATATTGAAAAAAAATAGCAGGGGATTATTAAAGCATTAACCTTGATTTTAATGGCCTTGGTTGAGTGGTGAGATCACAATTTGGATGAGCCTGATTATTTACTAAATACAATACATAAATGCAACGGGTTCTTAACACCCATTGCACTCTGGCATTATCGCATTACTGCCATCCTTTGTTGCCTTGCAGACAGGAATATGAAAGCAATCTGTCATGTAGTGAGACTGGCTCCAGAAGCATTTCTCTGATAAGAAGACCCCCTGCCCTTTGCTAGTGTCTGGTCCAGTAGGCTTAGCCATGCGCTTAATCCCCAGAAAGTGGTTCGATTATTGCTGACCAGCAATGGCAAGATAGTTTTTTTTTTCTTCCAAGCTATCAACCTTCCATTAATTCCACAAGCAGAAATACGGTGCAATCTATATTTCCTTGGCATGTGTCACCCAGATGGTGTCGTGCTTATGTTTTCAAATAACCATGTTCCAAAATAACATAGTTTGAATAATAAATTCTACAAATCCTTCCTAAGAGAGAAAAGCATAATTCTCAGAAACTGCATAAACTTTTACGCATGATGCTATGGCTTATCCCTTTTATGCGGAATATATGTGTATATGTCTCATATGTTCTTTAAAGAGATATTTGCCTCGAGTTGTTTTTCCCTTTATTGTTGTCAATTATTGTTAACATATTATGTCTTAAACAGTAGTCGGACACTCTTGGTCAGCAACATTGAACTTGTCATTTAATACAGCTGCTCTTAAATCCTATGTGTAGGTCGATGCTGTCAAGCAACCATGACTGTACATTTTGGTATTGATTGGAATTGCTGCATCCAGTTCCTCCCTAACTCAAATTTCTTCTTTTTCTTTCCTCTGCTAAAAATGGGGAGAATTTTGAACATATGTCTTTTTTATATATGTGTCAAAAGAATTTGGTAAATTCTGACACCTTCATAAGCACATGTTTAACATGCATATTTACTTGCATGTATCTACATTTACAGATGCTTTAATTTTTGTAATACTTTGAGGATTTTGCATCTTTTAAAAAAATGTTTCTTGTATGCTTTTTTTTTAATCATTAGATTTCATGTTATGACATACCTGGCCCAGTAAATAGGACAACGGAACGTCATCTGGCTATCAATTGCACTCAGGATATAGTTATTTGTTGGTGGCCGCTGGTCAGTGATGATGCTTGGCCTTGGGCCCCAATTTCTTCTGAGAAGGACAGATCCAATCTGCTGCTGCTGAGTTGTGCTCAAGGAAAACTAGAGGTAAATCTAAAAGAAATATATACATTTTTAAATGAAGTACAAATAAAGTAATATTAGTTTTTCTATTTTAAAATAATTTGAATTTTAAACCCGAATTTTTTTCAAAGAAAAGGAAATTACATATGAAACCCTAAAACATTAGACCTAGAGGATAACTGGAAAGTTCCAGGACTGGCTGATACAGTGTAGTGATTAAATTCACACACTTCCAGGTTCAAATCCTAGGCTTGCCACTTGCTAGCTTTCTGTACTTGAACAAGTCACTAAGTGCTATGTGCTGTAGTTCCATTGTTTGAAAAATAGAATTCATAAAGTTGAATGAGTTAACTAGTCACCACTGTCATTATTCTCATTAGTACTGTCTTACTGTTTGCTCATTATTTCATCCCCTTGAAAGTTATTTTACCAGTTACTCTCTTAAAACATTAGTCAGTTAACAAACTTTTGTCAAGTGCTTATTTTGTGCAAATCTCTACAATATAAAACAATCAGTAGGGCAGGAAGATGTAAAGAGTGGTACACAGTGCCTACCTGCTCAGTCCAGTATATCTGGTTATTTGTTGTTGTTGTTTGTTTTGTCTTTTTGTGATACTGGGGATTGAACTTGGGATCTTGTGTTTGCCAGACAGGTGCTTATGCCTCTGAACTATCTCCCTGGCCCAGAGTACAGTATATCTGAAAAGGCTTGACCTACAAGGTGATGAAAAAAATTCTTACTATGTTCCCATTAATGGATTAATCATTCATTCATTCATTCATTCATTCATTCATTCAAGTGAACCTGTATTTTCAGTTCAGTTTATACCAATATTTGAATATAAAACTATGGGTCTCATTTTTATACTGAAAAAAAAAAAAGAACTTCTGTACTTCTTTGTTATACTGGGGTGACATTGTATGTTCCTATATTTTCAAAATGTTTCCTAAATCTGTTGCTTTTTAGATTTCAAGTATTCTTCAGAATTAGTGTTCTGAGATGAACATGTCTAAATTTTCTCTATATTTATTACCTCTTGGTTTTATAAAGTTTGAGGATGTGGATTTTGTGTGTTTTTTTTTTTTTTTTTGTCTTTTTGAGACAGGGTCTCACTATGAAGTTGAGGCTGGGCTTGTGCTTACTTTGTAACTCAGGCTGGTTTTGAGCTCATAGTGATCCTCTTGCTGGATCCTCCCAAGTGCTCCTGGATCCTCCCAAGTGCTGGGATATTAGGCATGCCCAGCTTCAGGTTGTGTTTTAAGACTGAAGAGTTCTGCTATACATATCTTCCCTAAGAATCTTCTCTCTGTTATACATTTCATAGTTTCCTTTTTCTGGAACTTTCCCAATTCTATTACTGTAACTAAGGTCACTTGTAGTACTTTAGATGTGGATCTGAGCAAGTGTTTGTGTTCCTCTACACTTCGCCTTACATGCACCATTTTATTTATCTTCGGTCCAGAAACTCATGGAAAAAAAGACTTCATCAAAATGACATAATGTAATTAAGGTTATTAGAATGCTTACAAATGTTTTGCTGTATAATAAAAGTAAAGATAATTAAATAAAGTAACTATTTAAAATGAGTACATGAACATGAAACTAGGTCACATGCTTCATTACTTGGTGTTATCTAGGTCATGAACTTTAGAGCTGAACAAACCTTGTGTTTGCTTGTTCTTATTGTGTGACCTTAATGGAGTTTATTCTTTAAGCTTTTGCCTGTTTTTTCTAATTTTATGTTGAATGGTTTTAAGTTGATTATGTGTCCTAACTGGCTTTAGTCTTCTAACTTTTAAAGCAATAAATTTCAACCTGGTAAGTAACTTTCAGGTCACTGATAGCTCCAAACTGTGCTTATCTGGATTACGAAGCACAGTTCTGATTTAGCCATCACTGACTAAAGTGCCTTCAGTAGATTCTGAATCCAAATTCAGCCCTACACTGAAAAACTCATGATACTTGCTTGGCCTTGGCCTACCTTTCCAATGTTATTTCCTTATGTAAATTTACGCTGTAGTCAGATGAGTTTGCTCACTGACTCATTATTTCTCATTTCTTGCACGTACACATTAATGGTATTTATATCTGAAACCATGTCATTCAGCAACAATTGAACTGTATTTCATACCAGGAAATATGTGTAAGAAACTATCCTGCCAGCAAGGCTCTTAGTGTCTGTCTGTGAAGGCAAATGTAAAAATGTATAAGGACATTAAAAGTGTGAATGGGCTTAGCAGTAGAGCATTTGGTTAGCATGTAAGAAGTCCTAAATTCATTCCCCAGTAGTGAAAAACAGTGTGGATGGTGCTGTGCATAGATTGTGTAAGCTATAATAGGAGCCAATAGAGAGTGATTAATTGTACCTAGAAAGATGATTAGGAAGATTAAGAAGCTTCATAATGTGCTTAAATATGAGGTTAGTACACCATTTTACTTTCTTTTATTATCCCATTTAGGTTTAATATGAAGATTGTAATATCTTTGTGGAGTGATTTGTCTAGATTTTTCTTTATTCATCTGTGAAATAGTACCAAAAGGAATGGTTATTGAGGTTTTAGTAAAATTTACCTGTTAAACTGGCTTGGTGTGGTATATTTCAAGAATAGATTATTTAATTACTGAATCTTTTTAACAAGTTATCTCTTTTTTGGAAATATGATTTTTTCCTATTTTCCATAATTTGTATTTCTATAAAATTATGTATTTGATAGATAATTTGAATATGTCTTTTTAAATGTTTTTACAATTTGATAAATAGTTTTCTTGATGAATGTAGTTGTAAGAGTTGTTCAGCAGTATACAAGCAATGGTTTTCCTGATTGATCTGTAGTCTTCAATAAGTGTAAGAAGTTATTGTATGAAACATCTGTCAAACTAGTAAGACTATATTGATGCCTCTATCATTTTCAGTACTGTTGCTTACCTGGGCATATTTACCCCAAATGACCTGGCCTCCTTGTGTCATAGGCCCAACTCGCTCACGTTCACCTCAATCACTGTTCCTTTGGTAATAACACCCAAAGTTGTATACAGTGGCGATGAAGGATTCTTTTTCACACCAAGTACTGGCAGGCAAAAGGTGGCTTTCAGTTCAGGATGTGTTACATGGGCCTTCTTAAAACATAAGCCCATTGGCCTAATGAATCTTCCATATTTAGGTGGCTTTCTTGTAAAGCCATCTCCAACAAAACAAACTTTAGTAAGCATCCTCTTCCATGCCTTCTTTTTTCTCTTTCCAGTTTGGATAACTTTTAGTACTTCTGTTTCTCCTTGCGCATGAACTTTGAGCAGAGGAACTTTCCATTTTCCCACCTTTTCTTTTTGTTTTTGTTTCATCATGTTGGAAAGTACTTTTGCAGGAGACTGTCCTTCTCTGTCCAGCAGGTAGGCAGGTACTGCTCCTTGTGGAGTCTTTCATCGTTCTTCTGTTTGGTGTTTCTCTTTTCACACATCTTGATAGTCTTCTTCATTTGTATTTTCTCTGCATGGTGCTGTTTGTGGTAGAGCTTAGCCTTCAGGCCAATCATTTTTTACCTTCTTTGAATGTTCATGAACCTCCCAACTTTCCTTCTTTCTGTTCTTTCTCATGGTAATCCAAGCAGTACCCATAGTGTTTACGGTGTAATTTAATGTATTCTTTCTGTGGCATGATGACAGCAGCAGAGCCACCATGGGCAGCCTCAGGTGTGCAAAGATAAGTCCTAACATTGGGGTGTCCCAGATGCACCTGAATATGTTTTGATAAAGTTTTATTTGCTGTTCATGCTGCATGTCTGTGTTTGTGTGTTTCTGGGGATTGAATCCAAAAATCTCATACTTGTAGGCAAGTGCCACTCTACCACTTAGCACTCCAGTCCTGGCATGATTTTCGTATCCACCACTCATTGCATGTCCTCCTTTTCACTCCTAATATATTAAGATACACAATTCTTCTTTCCTTTCCTTTTCTTTCTTTCTTGAACAGCTTTTGTTTCAGGATTTTGGATATTCTGTCAAAATTAACTTGTTGAAAAAAATGTAAATGTTTCCTTTTCACAAACTCGTGAATTTTAATATAAAAAAGTAAAGTTTTTGGAAGAAATATCTAGAAAAGTAAATGCTTATTTTTTTGTGTTGAAGACATAAAGTTTAACAATGAGGTACTGTTTTTTTTTTCTTTTTTAAAGCATAACATGAATTTTAAAAAATCATAAATGAAAGACACCAGTTTATTAAGGTGTAATATTCAAGCATATCTCTTTAAATTGTTTTTACTAGCAATGAGGAAGCTTTTTAAACTAATAATCAGAATATAGAATATAATATGCTTTTAAAACCTAAAATGCAAACTAAAGAATAAAATATCTCATAGAGAAGAAATTTAGTCTTTTGTCTGTTAAGCCATAGAGTTTTGAAAAAGCATTTTTCATTTGGATTTAATTAGAAAAGATAGTAAGCTTGAATTTGGACAGTGGCAGGATCCTAGATTCTAGAACAGTAGAATTCCAAGTCTTAGGAACTCATTTCAGTCATTTGCAAAGCTTTTGAGGGGCCTACCCAGACCAGTTCCATCAGAGTCTCTAGAAAGGAGGCAATATCAGTATCTTTTACAGGTTTCCCTGAAGATTTTCCTGTTTATCCAAGTTGAAATCCACTGCTTTATAAAAAGATGAAAAAAATTAAAGCCATCTTTTTTGTATAACAGACCATGGAAAGGATAAAGCCCACATACTGAACCGAATGAGAGTTTTAATAGTAAATTCTAAGTAGAAAATTGGCTTACAGAGCAGCTAAAAAAAGAAAAAGAAAACAAAGGAAACATAGGAATAAGCTCTCTGTGACTGAATTATCTGTCTTTCAGAGGAAAAACATTTTTAATTTATTTTATGGATATTAGAAAACTGCTGGTCTAATTTCACACCACAGAGCTCTAAACAAGTCCATATCTTAATTAGAAGCACAGAGCAGAGGTAGTTATGTAGTGTAAGAAAAAAATTCTTTTGAAAAATATTCAATAGATAATGTAGAAACAAAATTTTAT